TGCCTCAGCCTCCTGAGTAGCTGGGATTACAGGCATGCACTGCCGCACCCAGCTGATTTTTGTATTTTTAGTAGAGACGGGGTTTCACCATGTTGACCAGGATGGTGTCCATCTCCTGACCCTGTGATTCGCCCGCCTTGGCCTTACAAAGTGCTGGGATTACAGGAGTGAGCCACGGTGCCCAGCCTGAAATTTTAATTTTTGTAGAGATGGCGTCTCGTTATGTTACCCAGGCTGGTCTCAAACTCCTGGCCTTAAGTAATCCTCTTGCCTCGGCCTCCCAAAGTGCTGGGATTATAAGGGTGAGCCACTGCACCTGGTCAGCTTTTACAAAGGATTTGGGATCCAGATTTCACTCACTCAAAGAGCGAATTAGAGTCACTCCCAGCCCCTATAGCCAATGCTTGAGTGTGGAATCTCTGTCAATAAATTCATCCCAATTCAACATTCAATTGCTTCCATCCTGCCCCACCATTCCCCAGAGATCCCGTCCCAGACCAGCTTCTCAGTGTGGGTTCTGTCAGTATCAGTGGGGAAGTCTTGCAGTTCTCCGGGTGCACATGGTAGCCCCTCACCGCCCACGCCCTGAAGCTCATCCTGTGCAACCTGCCAGTAGCTGAGTCTGGATGCAGGTCTAGAAGCATCAAGAGCTGGTGGGCTGGACCCTGTGGAGGATCGGTGGTCCGCTGCAAGACAGCGACCTAGGACAGGCTTTGCAGACAGGGGACCCCAGACTGACCAGACGAGGAAAGAGGCTCCTTCTCCAGGAAGAGAGTACAACAGGATTGGGAGTTCAAGGTCCTCAGAGACAGTGAAGTGTCCCCATTTGAACACATTTCTCAGTTTCCCTGCCTGCCTTTCCTCTCTCTGGATCTCTGTCCCCCTCTGTCTGTGGGTCTCTGTTCCTCTCTGAGTCTCTGTCCTACTCTCTCTCTGGGTCTCTGTCTCCCTTTTCCCTTGGTCTTCCCCTCCCTCTGGGTCTTTATCCTCTTCTCTCTGGGTCTCTGTCCCCGTCTCTCTCTGGGTCTCTGTCCCCCTCTTTCTGGGTCTCTGTCTTCCTTTTTCCCTGGGCCTCTGTCCCCCTCTCTCTGGGTCTCTGTCCTCTCTCTCTGGGTCCCTGTCCCCTTCTCTCTGGGTCTCTGTCCTCTCTCTCTGGGACTCTCCCTCTCTCTCTGGGTCTCTGTCTCCCTGTCTCTGGGTCTCTGACTCCCCATCAGGTCCGTGTCCCACCTTCTCTCTGGGTATCTGCCTCTTCCCTTCCCTCTGGGTCTGCGTCTCCTGGTCTCCGGCCTGGCATGGTGGGCGGGTGGGAACCGGGACAGATGGTGCCCAGCGCTCCCTTCTCCTTTCCACACTGGCCGCTTCTCCTTTCCTTGACAACAGTAGGTGGTCTCTTCTGACAAGGAGCCCACGTCTCACCTGAGTCACCCCCAGGGCCTAAACCACTGCTCAGAGCTTATGAAATCTCAAATTCTGTTTCTTTCCTTTGACTGAGCCAGGCTTGTGCGATCAGAGTCGAAAACTGCACTTTCTACAAATGGTGACTTTCATTTCTTCTGGGCATCAAATCCCTCCAGGGGCCCTCGGCCACCCCCAGTTAGGCCCTTTTGACTGTCATATTTCTCTCTCTTGAACTTTGGACTTAAAATGAACGGTCCAGGATGACAATTCCCGCGGGGCTGCGGCAGCTGGGGCTGGCCCAGGCCAGCTTCCTTCCTACCAGGAAGTGGCTTGAAGAACAATATGGAAATCTCGGTGGTGTGAGGGGAGCGAGACTGGGCAACTTGCTTGCTGGGACTGGAATCTATGACACTCATTACATAAGGACCCCGATGGAAGGAGTCCCAGCTGAAGTCCGCGCCGGGCAGAGTGGCGCGGTTCTCCTGCTACTCGGGAGGCTGAGACAGGAGAATCTCTTGAACCCAGGAGGTGGAGGTTGTAGTGAGCTGAGATCATGCCACTGCACTCCAGCCTGGGCGACAGAGAGAGACTCTGTCTCAAAAATAAATAAATAAATAAACTAATTAATTAAATAAAAACACTGGGTGCAGTGGCTCACGCCTGTAATCCCAGCACTTTGAGAGGCCAAGGTGGGCAGATCACTTGAGGTCAAGAGTTTGGGACTAGCCTGACCAACATGGTGAAACCTCGTCTCTACGAAAAACACAAAAATTAGCTGGGCGTAATGGTGGTGCCTATAATCCCAGCTACTCCGTAGGCTGAGGCAGGAGAATCGCTTGAGCCCAGGAGGTAGAGGTGGCAGTGAACCGAGATTGTGCCACTGCACTCCAGTCTGGGTGACAGAGCGAGACTCTCAAAAAACAGCCAGGCGTGGAGGCTCACGCCTATAATCCCAGCACTTTGAGAGGCCGAGGTGGGTGGATCGCCTGAGGTTGGAAGTTTGAGACCAGCCTGACCAACATGGAGAAACCCCATCTCTACAAAAATTACAAAATTAGCCAGGTGTGGTGGCGCATGCCCGTAATTCCAGGTACTCGGGAGGCTGAGGCAGGAGAATCACTTGAACCCAGAAGACGGAGGTTGCAGTGAGCCGAGATTGTGCTATTGCACTCCAGTCTGAGCAACAAGAGTGAAACTCTGTCTCAAAACAGACAATCAAACAAACAAACAAACTGGCTGGGTGCAGTGGCTGACACCTGTAATCCTAGCTCTTTGGCAGGCTGAGGCAGGCGGATCATGAGGTCAAGAGATCGAGATCATCCTGGCCAACATGGTGAAACCCTGTGTCTACAAAAGATACAAAAATTAGCCGGGCGTGGTGGCGCTTGTCTGTAGTCCCAGCTACCCGGGAGGCTGAGGCAGGCGAATTGCTTGAACCCCGGAGACGGAGGTTGCAGTGAGCGGAGATTGCACCACTGCACTCGGGCCTGGTGACAGAGCGAGACTCCATCACAGAAAAAAAAAAAAAAAAATATATATATATATATATAAAAATATTAAAAAGTTCATAAGGACCCAGATGGAAGGATTCCAGGTTTCAGCTTCTCTTCCTGAGACTCCAAACTGCCACCCTCCAGCCCCTTTTTTCTCAGACCAGGATGCCTAAGTCTGCAGTCCCCAGTTCTCCTGTGACACAGGTATCCGGATGGCCAGCCCACTGATTCCCCAGAACTTGAGTGTCACGCTAGCACCAAACCTACCCCAGGACCCAAGAGTCCTTATCCCAGATTTGAGGCCCAACAGATCTCATTCCTGCTGCTAAATGATGCCAGAAAACTACATCTCCCATGAGGATGTGAGTGTGCTGTGTCACCTTATAAAAGCTCCCCTGTTATTGAGGTAGCTCTCGGAAATAGTTACACAATGCTCACACAAGTCGAGGGGTTGTAGAAAGAAGTCCTGCCCTTTCATTTTATTTTTATTATTTATTTATTTATTTATTTTTGAGACGGAGTCTTGCTCTGTTGCCCAGGCTGGAGTGAAGTGGCGTGATTTCAGCTCACTGCAAGCTCCACCTCCTGCGTTCACGCCATTCTCCCACCTCAGCCTCAGAGTAGCTGGGCCTACAGGTGCCCGCCACTGCGCCTGGCTAATTTTGTTTTTCTGTTTTTAGCAGAGACGGAGTTTCACCATGTTAGCCAGGATGGTCTCGATCTCCTGACCTCGTGATCCACCCACCTCCCCAAGTGCTGGGATTACAGGCGTGAGTCACTGCGCCCGGCTATTTTTATTTTATTTTTTAAATTAATTAATTATTTTGTTGAGGGGGAGTCTCGTTCTACTGCTCTGATCTCTGCTCACTGCAACCTCCACCTCCCGGGTTCAAGTGATTCTTCTACCTCAGCCAGCTGGGACTACAGATGTCCACCACCACGTCCGGCTAGTTTTTGTGCCTTTAGTAGAGACGAGATTTCACCATGTTGACCAGGCTGGTCTCAAACTCCTGACCTCAGGCGATCCACCTGCCTCAGCCTCCCAAAGTGCTGGGATTACAGGCGTGAGCCATGGTGCCTGGCCTTATTTTATTTATTTATTTTTATTTTATTTTATTATTATTATTTTTTTGGAGACTTTTTGAGTCTTGCTCTGTCGCCCAGGCTGGAGTGCAATGGCTCGATCTCAGCTCACTGCAACCTCTGCCTCCCGAGTTCAAGCAATTCTCTTGCCTCAGCCTCCTGAGTAGCTGGGATTACAGGCACCCACCACCACACCTGGTTAATTTTTGTATTTTGGGTAGAGATGGGTTTTCACCATGTTGGCCAGGCTAGTCTTGAATTCCTGACCTCAAGTGATCCACCTGCCTCAGTCTCCCACAGTGCTGGAATTACAGGCGTGAGCCACCACGCCCAGCCAGTCTTGCCCTTTCAAAGAGCAGGGATAGTCCAGAGTCCCTGGGGACACTTTAGCAGAGTAGAAAAGTGAGGCTTGGCTGGGCACAGTGGCTCAAGCCTGTAATCCCAGCACTTTGGGAGACCAAGGCAGGCAGGTCACGAGATCAAGAGATGGAGACCATCCTGGCCAACATGCTGAAACCCCATCTCTACTAAAATTACAAAATTAGCTGGGCGTGGTGGCACACGACTGTAACTCCAGCTACTCAGGAGGCAGAGGCAGGAGAATCGCTTGAACCCGGGAGGCGGAGTTTGCAGTGAGCCAAGATCACGCCACTGCACTCCAGCCTGGGTGACAGAGCGAGACTCCATCTCAAAAAAAAAAGAGAAGAAAAGAGAAGAGAGGAGAAGAAGAGGCCCAGTGGGAAGCCAGGACCCTAGGACCACATGAGGGGAAGTGTAAAGGGGGTTGTACGGGGCAAGGGAGACGAAACAGATCCCATGTCTTCCCTGAGACACTCACACAGGCTCATTCTCATCCTCCTCTCAAACTCTTTATTATCTCAAGTAAGAAAAATAAAAATATAAATAAGATAAATAACCTAATAAATAAAGAGGAGATGTCATAGTAAACAGCCTTTGGCTTCAGGAAGCGTAGCTGGGGCTTCGGGCCTGGGAAGGTCCCACCATGCTCAGAGGGTCCGAGGAGCCCACATCGGGGGGCTGGGGGGCGAGGATTCCTGGCGGCTCTGGGGGTGCGGGGGGCAGGCCTGGTAGTGGCAGGAAGCGAGCTGGTCCTCGGGATGCAGGGTCCCGGTGTGGGGACTTGTTTCCCGGCAGGTGCAGTGGGAGGCCGTGGGCCTCGGACTGGTAAACATTGTATCCGTTCTCAAGAAGCAGCTCCCGGAAGCTGCAGGCCTCAGGGTCAAAGTGGAGCTAGGGGATAAAAACAGGATCAGAGACAGGGTCCCTCTATGTTTTCCTGCTGTAGGACCCAGGATCCAGGCCCCAGCCCTGCCTCCCTCAGACCCAGGAGTCCAGGTCCCTCAGCACCTCCTCCCTCAGACCCAGGAGTCCAGGTCCCTCAGCACCTCCTCCCTCAGACCCACGAGTCCAGGCCCTCAGCACCTCCTCCCTCAGACCCAGGAGTCCAGACCCCAGCCCCTCCTCCCTCACACCCAGGAGTCCAGACCCCCAGCCCCTCCTCCCTCAGACCCAGGAGTCCAGACCCCCAGCCCCTCCTCCCTCAGACCCAGGAGTCCAGACCCCCAGCCCCTCCTCCCTCAGACCCAGGAGTCCAGACCCCCGGCCCCTCCTCCCTCAGACCCAGGGGTCCAGGACCCAGTCTCTCCTCTAGGAAACAGAACAGCGAAGGCAGTTTTCATTTTGACCGCAGGCCTTCCAGTTCAGACTTCACAGAGAACATTCCAGCCCTCAGAGGAGCCGTCAATGCTCTCTAAGGCCAGGCGGGGAGTCTCCCTAGCACTCAAGGTCCTGGTCACTTTAGTGGCCATGGCTTCCCTGAGTGTCCCCGTGCCCAGCATGAGCCATGCACTCAGGGGCCGTGTGGGCAGGTGCAGGGGTTACTGAGTCACGAGACTCCCAATAACCCGAGTCTCAGGCCACTCCAGCATCCACACATCACATGATTGAGGTCAGTGGTGCCTCGGCCTGGGCCTCAGTTTCCTCATCTTGCAAACATTGATGTCAACAACTTCAACCTCCAAAGGTTGCAGTTGGGGGTGTGCAGAGCGAATAGAATCAAGTCTGGCTCCAGGGAGGGGGATGAGCAAGACCCCAGGCTATGAGGACGACAGATAGGAGGAGCACGGTAGGTGGTGAGGAGGGTCCGGGAAACTCACCGATCCATACAGGGCCCCATCTGGCTTCTGGCACAGGAATCTGGATGTCTTGACTCCCAAGATTTGAATAACTCCTGGCTTCAAGGCTTTCAGCTGCAGGAGACCTAAGGGGAGAAAGCGAGAAGGTGCTTAGAGGATCCCTCCCACCTGTCTCTGTCCCACCACCCGGCTCTGTCCCAGCCCTGGGAGTCCAAGCCCGCAGCGCCCCCTCCTCCCTCAGACCCAGGAGGAGTCCAGGCTGAAGCCCCCTCCTCCCTCAGATCCAGGAGTCCAGACCCCCAGACCCCTCCTCCCACAGACCCAGGAGGAGTCCAGACCCCCAGACCCCTCCTCCCACAGACCCAGGAGTCCAGGCTGAAGCCCCCTCCTCCCTCAGATCCAGGAGTCCAGACCCCCAGCCCCTCCTCCCTCAGACCCAGGAGTCCAGACCCCAGCCCCTCCTCCCACAGACCCAGGAGGAGTCCAGGCTGAAGCCCCCTCCTCCCACAGACCCAGGAGTCCAGGTCCCCAGCCCCTAATTTCTCAGACCCAAGATTCCAGACCCCCAGCCCCTGCTCCCTCAGACTCAAGATTCCAGACCCCAGCCCCTCCTCCCTCAGACCCAGACCCCAGCCCCTCCTCCTTCAGATCCAGGGGTCCAGATCCCCAGCCCCTCCTCCCTCAGACCCAGGGGTCCAGATCCCCAGCCCCTCCTCCCTCAGACCCAGGAGTCCAGACCCCTCCTCCTCCCTCAGACCCAGGAGTCCAGGCCCTCAGCCCCTCCTCCCTCAGACCCACGAGTCCAGACCCCCAGCCCCTCCTCCCTCAGACCCAGGCTCTGGCCCACACTCACTTTCGGGGCTCTGGTGAGCAGCGCCCCCCACTGTCCCATCCTCCCTGATCTCCAGGTGGGCTTCTGTCTGCTGGGCATCATCTGTGTAGAGGTACCGTTGCCGGACTTGGCCCCCGAATTGCAGGAGAGGACTGGAGTCAGGGATGGGGTGTGCCTGGCAGGCTCCCAGCAGAAGACCAGCCAGCACAGGAACCCACAGTCCTGAGTGCTCGAACCCGGTCTCGTCCGAGTCCATCAATGGCTCAGGTCCTCAGGTGATCTCCGGGGTGTGAGCTTGGAGAAGCTAGTGGTTTAGAATCGGTGCCAGATTCCGGCTGTCCAGGTGAGCAGATTCACAGATCGCTGCTCAGGTGGCCTGAGTGCCTGCGTCCTCCTTCGGCTGGATCTTCAGCAGACAGAGCACTCCTGTGTTTTGGGATAGATGCAGAAGCTCCAGAATTTATACCCAGACAGTCCCGCCCAATCACCCTCCCTGCGCCTGACCCATGGCATTTGACCCACTTGGCAGGAGCCACAGAATTCCATCGTGGCAAGGGCAGCCTGAATGGATGATGTAACCTGGGGGTCCTTTCAATGGGGGGCCGGACTCCTGGGTCTAGGGGACCAGGGAGAGGAGGATCGGTTTAGCTGGGACCCAGGTGAAGGGGGCTGGGGGCCCAGATTCCTGAGTCTCAGAGAGAAGGATCTGGGGTCTCAAGTCCCTGAGTTGGAGGGAGGAGGGGTGCTGGGCTCCTGGGAAAACCACCTCTTGGAACATTTATGTAGATCACATTTATGCAGAACAAGAGAAATTTCTGCACCCCATCTGAATTTCTAAGTTTGGGGGGAGGGCGTGATCTGACACTGAGGTTCCTTGATCCTCAGCAAGGCGGCAATTGCTGTGTGAAAGAAGCGACCACAGCGAAGACACAGGTGTCCTGCCGTGGAAGCCTCTCACCTGGCCGTGGGCCAACCTCAACCTCATCTGTCCCTGCTCAGGTGCTCAGACTCTGGCCATCCCAGCCTCCTCCTCCCTGATGCAATCCTGGTGTTTCTTTCACCAGAGAAGCCATCCCAGGCCCAGGCAGGTGCTCATAAAATAACCTGGGGGGAGGGGTGGCTGAGAGTCCCTGACTGGAGTTGGCAGCCAAGCCACGCTCTGGAGTGGGCACCCACAGGGAAGACAGGTTGGCTAATTTCCTGGAGCCCCTAAGGGTACAAGATTAGGACTTCTACGTCTGAGGGAGGAGGGCTGGGGTTCTGGACTCCTGGGTCTGAGGGAGGAGGGCCTGGAAAACTTGGACTTGTGGGTCTGAGGGAGGAGGAACTGGGGGTCTGGACTCCTGGGTCTGAGGGAGGAGGGACTGGGGGCCTGGACTCCTGGGTCTGAGGGAGGAGGAACTGGGGGTCTGGACTCCTGGGTCTGAGGGAGGATGGGCTGGGGGCCTGGACTCCTGGGTCTGAGGAAGGAGGGGCTGGGGGCCTGGACTCCTGGGTCTGAGGGAGGAGGGGCTGGGGGCCTGGACTCCTGGATCTGAGGGGGCTGGGGAACCTGGGCTCCTGGGTCTGAGGGAGGAGGGGCTGGGGGTCTGGACTGCTGGGTGTGACTGGAAGGGTCTGGGTGCTGGGAGTCCTGAGCCTGGATCCTAGATGATGGTTAAACTTCTGGGAATCAAGTCAAACTGCTGAGTCCTTGACACCGATGTATCTTGAATGTGAGGGTCAGTCTGTGGGTGGAGGATTACCCAGGTGCCAAGGCAAGAGACTGAAGGCACAAACTGTTTCCATATAATAAAGAAAATAGTGAGAATAAGAATAGTCATTATACAAATTAGATATAGAGGTGATGATGACATTATCAATCATTAGTGTAAACATTATTAATCATTAGCTTTTACCATTACTCTTTGTTGTATTATTAATATAACCAAGAAATAACCGGCGGGCATAGGGTCAGGTGCTGAAGGGACATTGTGAGAAGTGACCTAGAAGGCAAGAAGTGAGCCTTCTGTCACGCCGGCATAAGAGCTGCTTGAGGGCTCCTTGATCAAGCGGTAAGGCCAGTGTCTGGGAAGAACCCCCGTTACTCAGCAGACTGTGAAAGGGAGTCTCCTTTCCTTGGAGGAGTCAGGGAACACTGCTCCACCAGCTCCATGTGGAAGGCTGGATATTATCCGGGCCTGCCCGCAGTCATCCAGAGGTTTAAACGTCTCCCTGCGGTGCTGTGCTTCAGTGGTCATGCTCCTTGTCCGCTTTCATGTTCCTCCTGTACTCCTGGTTCCTCTTTGAAGTTCGTAGTAGATAGCAGTAGAAGAAATAATGAAAATCTTAAAGTCTTTGATCTTTCTTATAAGTGCATAGAAGAAAATGCTGATGCTGCCTTCCCTCTCTGCCTCAGCTACCTAAAAGGGAAGAGCCCCTGTCCCGTGATCACGGGACTCGACCTTATCAATCACCTGGACGACTCACTCTCCTTACTCTGCCCCCTTGTCTTGTATGCAACAAATACCAGCGCGCCCAGCCACTCAGGGCCACTACCGCTCTCCGCGTCTTGGTGGTAGCGGTCCCCCGGGCCCAGCTGTTTTCTATCTCTTTGTCTTGTGTCTTTATTTCTTACAATCTCTCGTCTCCGCACAGGGGAAGAACACCCTCAAAGCCCCGTAAGGCTGGACCCTACATCAACCGCCCTGCTTGCGGTTGGCGATGCTGGAGGTGGGCCTTGGACCAGAGAAAATGCTTTCATTAGGTGACAAGCGGGCAGAGGCCTTTGTTTCTGGCGCCCGCAGCCACGGCCCCCGCTGACGGCATGGGAAACAGATCCTGTTCCACTCCGGTCTCCAGCTTTGGAATCGTTGCCTCGGTGCAATGCAGGTCTGGAAAGTAGCAGTTTAGCACGGGACCCTAGAATTCCCCAAAAGGAGTGACTAGGAGCTGGGATTCTGGAATTTGAGTGTGGACAGCGGGTTGGGTGGGTGGGAGATCGGAGACCCTGGTGGGCGCGGGGGGCACCTGCAGGCTGGAGGCCCTCGCGCGCTCCCGCGGCAGCCTGGCAAACAGGTTCTCCATTCCCCAGGAGGATGCGGCCGGGGGCGGACGATCGCTCCACTCGCCCGGACCAGGTGCGGGGGCCCTGCCCAGCCACTGGGGCGTGGCCAGGCTCGACGCACCCAGGTGCCGGGGGCCGACTCTAAGCCCTGGCACCAGAAGAGAGAGGGCGGCGGATTGGACCTCCCGGCTCGAGCATTGCAACTGGGAGCTCCGTCTCCGGGTCCACGCAATGATGCCGCGGCTGCTCGCAAGCCAGGTAGGCTGCCCCGGGTGAAGCCTTCACGGAGGTCAATGCCGGGGCGGAGGGGCAGGGCGCGGTCCCCCACATCCCCGATCTGGGGAGCGGTGGGTCCAAGGGCCATCGCCCTAGCCCGGGGCGCTGGGGCTCGGCGCCAAGTGAGGGGCGGGCCTCCACCTTCCAGCCATCTGCCCAGCCCGGGAAGGCGGACGCTGAGAAACTCCCGGCCGCGCCCCCTCCTTCCTCCCCTCCCCAAGCCCTCGCTGCCAGTCCGGACAGGCTGCGCGGAGGGGAGGGCTGCGAGGCTGAAGAGCCGGACGCCTGGCGTTCCAGGGGCGGCCGGATGTGGCCTGCCTTTGTAGAGGGCGCGCTCCGGCCACGCAAAGCGGACTGTGGATCTGCCACCTGCAAGCAGCTCGGGTAAGTGGGGACTGCCGGTGCCTGGGACCCAGCAACAACTCCTTCAGAGCCAGGAGGTGCACCCCCAACCTCTTCTCCAGGTCTTCCTAAGGCCCTAAGACTCTCCGCCGCCTCCCCAGCCATTACTTCTCCAGGAACCCAGATGCTTCTTCCGCTCCTGACCCTCCAGCCTCTCTTGTTTTACTTCGACTATCGCTTCCCATCACCACCTCTGTGGTGGATTTTGTTCCTCACAGACAGCCACTCCTGAGAAACAGGCTGATGGAAGAGTCCAGTATCAGCGGACCTTACAGGAGGGGAGACTCGAGATTCCTGCAGGAAAGGTGCAGGAACCTGGACCATGGCTGGCTGTTTTGCTTTTTTTTTTTTTTTTTTTTTTTTTTTTTGAGAGGGTCCCTCTCTGTCACCCAAGCTGGAGTGCAGTCAGTGGTGCTATCGCGGCTCATTGTGAGCTCCGGGGGTCCTCCCGCCTTAGCATCCGGTGTAGCTGAAACCACAGACACGTGCCGCCATGCCAAGCTAATTTTTTTTTTTTTTTGGTGGGGGGACGGAATTTCACTCTTGTTGCCCAGACTCGAGTGTAATGGCACGATCTCGGCTCACCACAACCCCCGCCTCCCGGGTTCAAGCGATTCTCATGCCTCAGCCTCCCTAGTAGCTGGGATTACAGACATGCGCCACCACGCCTGGCTACTTTTGTATTTTAAGTAGAGACAGGGTTTCTCCATGTTGGTCAGTCTGGTCTCCCACTCCGGACCTCAGGTGATCCGCCCGCCTTGGTGTCCCAAAGTGCCGGAATTACAGGTGTGAGCCACCCCTCCCGGCCCATGCCAAGCTAATTTTAAATTTTTTTTGTAAAAGCGGAGTCTTGCTCTGTTGCCCAGGCTGATCTTAAACTCCTAGGCTCAAGGAATCCTCCCATCTCAGCCTCTCAATATGCTGGAATTACAGGTGTGAGCCACAGCGCCCAGCCAAATCATGGCTATCTTGAAAACCACTTGTCTTCCAATCCCCATGCCCCGAAATTCCAAGGCTCTCATCCCTCAAACCTAGGACTCCGGGCTCTCTACCTCAGCCCCAGGAGTCTAAACCTGTGACTTCCTCTTTCCCTGGGACTAAGGAGTGCTGCACCCCAGGCACCTCCCTTCCCCCACATCCCTCCTCAGCCTCCCCTCCCTAGTCTCTGTGTATTTGCTAATTCACCTTTCCTCCCCTGCAGCCATGTGGCCCCCGAACCGTCGTCAGCTCTGCCTGGCCTTCCTGCTAGTCTGTGTCCTCTCTGCGCTCTCCTTCTTCCTCCATATCCACCAAGATAGCTTTCCACATGGCCTAGGCCTGTCGATCCTGTGTCCAGATCGCCGCCTGGTGACACCCCCGGTGGCCATCTTCTGCCTGCCAGGTACCCCGGTGGGCCCCAACACCTCCTCTTCCTGTCCCCAGAACTCTGCCTCCCTCTCCGGCACCTGGACTATCTATCCCGATGGTCGCTTTGGTAATCAGATGGGACAGTACGCCACGCTGCTGGCTCTGGCCCAGCTCAATGGCCGCCGGGCCTTCATCCTGCCTGCCATGCATGCCGCCCTGGCGCCGGTATTCCGCATCACCCTGCCCGTGCTGGCCCCAGAAGTGGACAGCCGCACACCGTGGCGGGAGCTGCAGCTTCACGACTGGATGTCGGAGGAGTATGCGGGCTTGAGGGATCCTTTCCTGAAGCTCTCTGGCTTCCCCTGCTCTTGGACGTTCTTCCACCATCTCCGGGAACAGATCCGCAGGGAGTTCACCCTGCACGACCACCTTCGGGAAGAGGCGCAGAGTGTGCTGGGTCAGCTCCGCCTGGGCCGCACGGGGGACCGCCCGCGCACCTTTGTGGGCGTCCACGTGCGCCGTGGGGACTATCTGCAGGTTATGCCTCAGCGCTGGAAGGGTGTGGTGGGCGACAGCGCCTACCTCCGGCAGGCCATGGACTGGTTCCGGGCACGGCACGAAGCCCCCGTTTTTGTGGTTACCAGCAACGGCATGGAGTGGTGTAAGGAAAACATCGACACCTCCCAGGGCGACGTGACGTTTGCTGGCGATGGACAGGAGGCTACACCGTGGAAAGACTTTGCCCTGCTCACACAGTGCAACCACACCATTATGACCATTGGCACCTTCGGCTTCTGGGCTGCCTACCTGGCTGGCGGAGACACTGTCTACCTGGCCAACTTCACCCTGCCAGACTCTGAGTTCCTGAAGATCTTTAAGCCAGAGGCTGCCTTCCTGCCTGAGTGGGTGGGCATTAATGCAGACTTGTCTCCACTCTGGACATTGGCTGAGCCTTGAGAGCCGGGGAGATTTTCTGAAATAGCCTGATCTTTCTAGAGCCAGCAGTACATGGCTCTAGGCCTGGCATCTTCTGGAGAAGTCTGTGGTGTTCCTGAAGCAAATGGGTGCCCGTTTCCAGAGCGATTCTAGTTGGGAGAGTTGGAGAGAAGGGGGACCTTTCTGGAACTGTCCGAACATTCTAGAACTAGCAAAACATCTTTTCCTGATGGCTGGCAGGCAGTTCTAGAAGCCACAGTGACCAACTGCTCTTCCCAGCCCATATCTACAGTACTTCCAGATGACTGCCCCCAGGAATAGGGAACTCTCCCTCTGGTCTATTCTAGAAGAGGGGTTACTTCTCCCTTGGGTCCTCCAAAGACTGAAGGAAAATATGATTGGTCCAGAGCAAACATTCACCAAGTCCCCTTCTGTGTTTCTGGGGTGATTCTAGAGGGAGACTTCTTCTAGAGAGGGCCAGATTTGATGCCTATAAAGAACCCTGCAGGGCCCTTCGAGACAGGATGGGGTTCTGGAAATCCAGATAACTAAGGTGAATAATCTTTTTAGTTTTTGTTTACTCGCCCTGTTGCCCAGGCTGGAGTGGCCTCGCCCTGTTGGGTCTCGCCCTGTTGCCCAGGCTGGAGTGCAGTGGCGTGATCTTGGCTCACTGCAACCTCCGCCTCCTGGGTTCAAGTGAATCTCCTGCCTCAGCCTTCTGAGTAGCTGGGACTACAGGCACACGCCATCATGCCCAGCTAATTTTTGTATTTTTATGTTGGCCAGGATGGTCTTGATCTCTTGACCTTGTGATCCACCTGCCTCGGCCTCCCGAAGTGCTGGCATATCTGGCGTGAGCCACAGTGCCCGGCCCGGATAATTTTATTTTTTATTTTTTATTTATTTATTTATATATATTTTTTGAGATGGAGTCTCTCTGTAGCCCAGGCCAGAGTGCAGTGGCACGATCTCAGCTCACTGCAAGCTCCGCCTCCCGAGTTCATGCCATTCTGCCTCCGCCTCCGGAGTAGCTGGGACTACAGGCGACTGCCACCACACCCAGCTAATTTTTGTTTGTATTTTCAGTAGAGATGGGGTTTCACCGTGTTAGCCAGGATGGTCTCAATCTCCTGACCTCGTGATCTGCCCACCTCAGCTTCCCACAGTGCTGGCATTACAGGCGTGAGCCACCATGCCCAGCCCGGATAATTTTTTAAAATTTTTGTAGAGAGAAGGTCTTGTGATATTGCCCAGGCTGTTCTGGAACTCCTGGGCTCAAGCAATCCTCCCACCTTGGCCTCCCAGAATGCTGGGATTACAGACGTGAACCAGCACACCTGGCCAAGTGAAGAATCTAATGAATGTACAACCTAATTGTAGCATCTAACAAGTGCCCCACCATTGCTGGAAAAATCGAAATGGAAAACAAACCATCTCTAGTTGGCCAGCGTCTTGCTCTGTTCACAGTCTCTGGAGAAGCTGGGGTAGTTGGTGAGCAGAGCAGGACTCCGTCCAGCCAGCCCTCCAGCCCCTCAAAGACTTTTTGTTTGTTTTGAGCAGACAGGCTAAAACGTGAAAGTGGGGTGAGGGATCACTGCTAAAATGGTGCAGCTTCTGGAGCAGAACTTTCCAGGGATCCAGGGACACTTTTTTTTAAGCTCATAAACTGCCAGAGCTGCATATATTGGGTCTGAGTTCAGGTTTCCTCTCACAATGAAGGAAGATGGTCTTTCTCTGCAGGTGGGCCCCTGGGGGTCTGGGATCTGTTTTCTGGAAGTGTGGAGGCATAAACACACCCTCTGTTTTTGTGACAAGCTGGCAAGCACTGTGCTCATTGCTAACCATTGTCTGCCCCTGAACACCCAGAACCATTACATCTGGCTTTGGGCAGGTCTGAGATAAAAGGATCTAAAGGCATGCAGACACTGGACCCAGCCTCAAATCCAGGCAGGAGCACGAGGTCTGGCCAAGGTGGACAGGACTGTCGAGATCTCAGGAGTCCTTTGCTTTTTTTTGGAGGGTGAAAGAAGAAATCTTAAACTTAGTCAACTCTGATCACATCCCCTATCTACTCATCCAGGATCCCATGCCTCCAAGCTTATCAGGGAGTTACACTTACAGTACAATTGTTACAGTTACAGCACTGTTCCCAACTCAGCTGTCGCAGGTAAGAGAGCAGGAGGTATGAATTAAAAGTCTACAGCACCAACCTCTGTCTCTGCAGCTTTTTTGGAGTCAGAGCTGCCGTGTGTGTGTGTGTGTGTGTGTGTGTGTGTGTGTGTTTGTGTGTGTGTAAGGGAGTGGAGGAAAAGGTGGGTACTTCTGAAAACTTTTTTTTTTTTTTTTGGAAGACCTAGTCACCCAAGCTGGAGTGCAGTGGTGTGATCTCGGCTCACTGCAACCTCCACCTCTTGGGTTCAAGTGATTCTCCTGCCTCAGCCTCCCGAGTAGCTGGGACTACAGACGTGTGCCACCATGTCCAGCTAATTTTTGTATTTTTAGTAGAGAGGGGTTTTCACCATGTTAGCCAGGCTGGTCTCGAACTCCTGACCGCAGGCAATCCTCCCACCTGGCCTCTCAAAGTGCTGGGATTACAGGCGTGAGCCACCGCGCCCGGCCCTGAGGATTTTTATTACTCGAGATTGGGAGTACTGTCCCTACTTAGATCTGACAGCTCCTTGTTGCTGGATTTGTGAGAGTTGTGGTCCCTGTTTTTCTGGTTTCCTGTTTCAGTCACACAGGAGAGACAGACCTTCCAGGACCCAAACGTCTGAGCCCCCAGTTGCTCTCTTCTGGACCCTCAGTATTGGCCCCCAGTCCTCTCCTCCCGCTGGGACCTCCGCGTGGGGAGAAGAGGCGGAGGAGGGAGCGAACGGATTATCATTGAACTACATTTCCCGGAAAGCTATGGGGTTGGCAGCGCTAATCAGCTACAGAGAAAGAGGCCCCAGGACATTTTGGGAATTGTAGTCTTATGGCTAAAACGTCCACTTCGTAGCTCGACAGCCGTTTCCAAGGACCGCGGTAGGGGCAGCAGCGGCTTGGGGGGCCGGATCTAGCCCAAAGCCTGGGTCCTGGGGCAAGGAGAGGGGAGAAAGCTGAACGCTAGAGTCCGGTCCTTGACTCTGGAAGCCAGAGCAGTCAGGAGCCTTCCTCTTCGGTAGATGCAGGGAAAGTTCTAGTCCAAAAAGGCTGCAGCCTCTGTGACGTCATGGAGCGATAGGCGGGGCCTCCCTTTGTTGCAGTCCAATCAGACAGAGTTGGGTTTCTGGGTGGGGCCAAGGAACGCCCAAGGAATGTCTATAAGGGAATTCGGGCCCCTACGTGAGAAGCTCGCAGCGGGTGGTTGCAGGAGTTCCCTGAGGAGAGGGGATCCTCCGTGACTCGGACCCCCATCGAAAAGCTCTCGATTTCACGCAGCCAACCTTACCCTCGTCCCCAACAAAATCCTTGATTTTAGCCCTGGGAAAATTAGCGTAGGTGGTCATGACCCCGGGTTCTTCTTTAAAAGCCCTCAGAACCTGGACCGGGCTCCTCAACGAACCCCAGTGTTAGAAGCCACAAGTCAGGAATCAAGGTCGGGGAGCGGCTCTTTAGGGTGCATCACTGTTCAGGATGCACCGGGGCTCCTTTTTCTAAGCAGAAGGGTGCGCCCCGCAAATTGGGAGCCCGTTAGTTTTGGGGAAGGGTGAACAAGGGCCCCCTGGGTCTGGAGGACCGCATGGAGTCTTGCTTAAGTCTTAGTACGGACCCCAGGTTTAGGAATTCGGAATGTGTTTTGGTTTTGAAGGACTTCCGAGTTTGACAATATCGTGGTTGGGTCTGTGTTAGATGATTTATTGGTTTGGGCTTTGAATCTTCAGCTTGAGGTTCAACAGGTTTTTGGGGGCTGGCGGGGGAGTGCCTCAGGGTTGCGCTTAAAGGTTGGAGTTCAGGATCACGTCAATCTGGGGACTTGGAAAATTCCATAGTTTGGGATTTTGGGAAGGGGCGCATGGGGTTGGGAGATTCCAGGTCCTGAGTTTGGGGACTTACGAATGCTTCCTGTTTAACGGTTTTTCTGACCTCTCAATTGGGATGCAGTGAGAACCCTAAATTTGGGGTCCCCTGGGTTGGGGCTCAGTTTCACACTTCGGAGGCATTTGATGAACGACATAGGTCCTCTTTATTTGGAGATTTCCTGAAGATCCTCTTTTCGCGGTTTGGGGACCCCATGGGTAGGGAGCCCAGTGGGATTTCTTAAGATGGATTTTGGTTTTTCTCCGTTTAGCGTTCTCCTGCTCTCGGTTTGGGGTGAGAGCAGCCTTCCTAACGGTCTTCGGGAACTGTGCGCGCCGGCTGCAATGGGGCCACATTTTACCCTCCTGTGTGCGGCGCTGGCCGGTTGCTTGCTTCCTGCCGAGGAGTGTGTTATATGTGACCCGTCTGTCGTGCTGGCGCTAAAGTCCCTGGAGAAAGATTATCTGCCTGGCCATCTGGACGCGAAGCATCACAAAGCCATGATGGAAAGGGTAGAGAAAGCTGTGAAGGATTTCCAGGAACTGTCGCTTAATGAGGATACCTATATGGGGGTCGTTGGTGAGGACAGGGGGGACCACGGACCCCTGGGTCCTGGGAAAGGGAACGAGGGAGATAAGACCAGGGGGAGGAAGAGGCTGACAGCAAGGTCTCCGGGATTCAGGAATGGAGAAGGCTGAGATGCAGATTCTGAAGTTCCCTGGGGCTGGTACATACTGTTTTCCCTATCCTTATCCGGCGATTTTACGTAATAAAACTACAACTCCCAGAAGGCAACGGGCGACTGAGTCCTTAACCAGGCCTATCCTTGCCCAGTGGCCGCATGGGTATTGTAGTTTCTAAGATTAGGGGCGCCAATGAGACAGTAAGGCTGGAATCTGGGGTTGTATCTCCCCTGACAGACGAGGCCACACTGCAAAAGGGGTCCTGGAGTTTGCTGAAGGATCTGAAACGCATCACAGACAGTGATGTAAAAGGTAAATGCACCAAGGGAGTAGGGGTCCAGAATCTCTCAGGGAAGCCAGCATTAGTGCTGCCTGGTCTCTTGGTCAGATACTAGGCTGTGGGGCCACACTGCCTAGGTTCAAATGCCTGCTCTGCCACTTCCTAGCTATATGGCCTTGAGCAAAGGACTTGGAAACTCCCTTGGCTCTAAAATGCTCCCTCAGTTGTTCAGTTTAGATGCGTATTGCTGGCCGGGCGTGGGTAGCTCATGCCTATAATCCCAGTACTTTGGGAGGCTGAGGCAGACAGATTGCTTGAGCTCAGTAGTTCAAGACCAGCCTGGCCAACATGGTGAAACCTTGTCTCTACAAAAATTACAATATATATATATATACACATATATATAACCTGGGCATGGTGGTGTGTGCCTGTAGTCCTAGCTACCTGGGGGGTTGAGGCCGGAGGATTGCTTGAGTCCAGGAGGTTGAGGCTGCAGTGAGCCATGATTGCACCACTGCACTCCAGCCTGGGTGGCAGAGTAAGACCCTCCCCCATCCCCCAAAATATGCATGGCTTAGCCTAGCGGCTGGCATTACGTTAGACGGTCAATTTTAGTGCCCTTTCCTGAGAAGGCCAGGAAGTAGACTGCCAGCTCTGCAGGCAGAA